ACTCCGCAGCAGCCAAGATGCCCCCCCCCAAAGCTCACTAAAAAGCCAATAGTTCCAAGAGAGGACGCCGACATGACAAGGTCCCCCTACGAGAGCCCCTGGGAGCTTCAACGAAATCAGGCAGGACCTTAACTTGTAAAGCCTCAGGACGTTAGAACCTGGCATGCATATAAACGTAAACGCGTAAAGAGTGACTCGAATGAGGGAGTATCCACTCATGTGAATGTGCGCGGCGGTGGGTCCATCCACTACGGCCTGTCCATCAAACCGGAAATCCGAAACACGATCGAGCTGAGAGACTAGAGAGGCAACAAAAGCCACTCGCCACCCTCGGTGGCTCTCTCTTGTCCCCGACTAGTCTGAGCACGGCCAGTATTCCATGCTGATTTCACAATTAAGAGGAAGTTGGAAGATTGCGCTTTGTTCTGCCACTTTAGAAGATTGGGTCGAGCAGCGCGCGTCTCGACGGGGGAGATAGGCTCGAACGCGCTGCTCCGAGCAGCAGCTGAGAGAAAATCCCACACGTTACCCCCCCAAGGCCGTGACATTAGCATTAAAGGATGCGAGTGCACGCAGCTTGCTCACACCGAGCTGTGGCTTTAAACTTGGAGGTCTCCAGTCAATGCCAGGCACCTGCTGGCGCGACCTCTTCGGCATGGCGCTCAGCTTCGAGCTGTGCGTGCGAAGTGCGGGTGGCCTCCTGTGCAATCTTCGCCTCGGTAGCCGCGGGGTCCTCAGCGCTAGAAAACGCAACGGTCTCCCCTCCTGCTCTACGCCTGCGACTGGCCATGGTGTTGTGGGGCCTGCCCAGGCGACGCCGGCGTAGGCGATGAGGCTCCCTGTTTCTCATCTCGACGCCTCTTGGGCATGCGCTGGGGTATGGTTCGGCGGGTCTTCTTCGCATTCTCTACCCACTTGGTAACCTCATCCGCCTTGGTGGACAATGACTCCTTCGTAGCAAGCAGCTTGCGATGACAAATCCTCAACAGCTCCAACGCATGAGGCTCGCACACGGAAGAATCGAGATTGCCACACGATGCCGAATGGCTTATTGGTGCCTTCTCCAGCTGCAGGTGAGTCATGGTTCTTGGTAGATATGCCAACACCACCCTCGGCCGCCACTGCCTGCGCCGCCAGTGCACAGGTTTGAGCTACCAGCGCAAACTGTTTCGCCAATCGTTGTTAGTTCTGTGTGGCTGCCGCTCGATTAATTTCGATATTGAGGACAGTGGTGACGGCCTGGTAGTGCCTGTTGGTGACGTCCCTCCATGCGCCATCTGCCTTCTGCATCGCTGAGACGACATTGTTGGCGCCCTGGGACTTCGCCGACAAGGCCTTGATCAGCGACGCTGGCGTGGCTTTGAGGTTCGGGTCTGTGGCGGCTGCAAGCGCCTGCTGGAGATGAGTCGGTGGCTGTGTCGTGCGACTGCATGTGACCAACCGAACCGAGCGGGGGCTGGGCTGGAGAAGATGCTCGACTGCCGCTCCCACCCCGATGTGCGCCACTACCCTTCTCATCGGCAAACGAAACTGAACGAAGTATCCCCGTCGGGAACTTCGGCGATGCAGCGTATAATTTCACCTTCTTGCCGCCCTTGCAATTGTGGCCTCGCGAGACAAATAGAGCGTTGTACTCGACACTCGACTTGCCCACACGCCTTGCATGTAGACCAAGGACGAAACATGCTGCAGAAACGGAATTGATGAACCCTCGGTCTTAGTCAACCTCGAATCGAAGGAAAAACTGCCCTCCGCTCGTGGTTGTCCCTCAAGCGCCGTGGGGAGGCGCCGAGGCTTGGGCTCACGCGCCAAATTGCTTGAACCCAACTGGCTTGAGGGGGAGGGGGGCTGCGACGGCGGGAGCGGGGAAGCGGCACGAGCATGAGCAAGAGTCCAGAATGAACCGCAAGAGAAGGGGGACGGCATCGTCAGCGTCGTCGTCGTCGTGGTCGTCGTTGTCGTCGTGATCGTCGTCACCGTCGCCGTCGCCGTGGTCGTCGTGGTGGTCGTAGTGGTGATGGTGGTGGTCGTGGTGGTCGTCGCCGTCGCCGTCGCCGTCGCCGTCGCCGTCGTCGTCGTCGTCATCGTCGTCGCGGGCACCGTCCTCCGCTAATCACTCGTCCCCCTCTCTGTTGTTTGGGTCAAATTGTGTGTGGGTGGGCATCATTTGACTGATCCCTGTCCCCAACGTGGCCTGGGCCCCACTAGCCGACTAACCTCCCTAGACGGGGATGTAGGCTGTTCCCTTCGGGTCTCCAGGGGCATGTCCCCAACTGGGCTGGTGGGGTGGCGGGGATCGGGATTAGAGGAAGACATATAAACATGAACATAAACTTTTGGCGCTCCGCGCGGTCTTCTTAGATCTGCGCTGGACCCCCCTCCCTGGCGCGCGGAGCGCGCCAGGGGCGGCGCCGCAGGCGCTTCGTGGGAGGGGGGCCCATCGCGGATCCGAGAAATCCGCGCGGAGCGCCAAAGGTTTATGTTCATGGTTGTTTTGCTTTCTCCTTCGAGATACTGGGGGGTGGGGGGGGGGGAGCCGTGGGCTGCGCTTCCCTTCCAGAGGCGGGCTGCGCGCCAGCGGGAGAGAGAGCACGTCGGCCTCCGCCCGCTGGCGCCCAGGGGGCAGACGGACGCAGGGAGCCACCCGCAGGGACCCGCTGCAGCGAGCGCTGGAGCAGGGCGCAGGGCGTCGGGCTGGCCTTGGGCCCCATCAGTCGGCGGCGAGCGCGGTGGCCTTGGGCCCCATCACTCGGCGGCGAGCGCGGGGTGGGGGAAGTGAGGAGGAGCAGGTCTTCTCAGAAGGCGGCGGAGCTTCTCGGAAACCCTCGCGCCTTCGGAGGCTTTTGCTGCGTCTTCGTGGGAGGCTGAATTACCCTCCACCTCCACCTTCCATACCTTCCGACCTTCGCGGAAGTTGCGGACGAATTCAACGAAACATATGGAAACCTGACGCAATCCAAAGACACCCTCGTAGGTCAAATCGAAAAAGGGGCGGAAGGTTAGGGCGGAAGTTCCGGAACAATGAGGGGCAGGGTAGGGAACTTCTCAGAAGGCCCAGGGGGCTTCCAAGCCTTCTGAGAAGGCCCGCCTCTGTTCACTTCCCCCCGGGCTCGCCGCCGAACCAGAGCCCTGCACACGCCCTGCCTCAATCGGAGGGGGGCACCCTGGTCCGAGCAGGCCTCCTAGTGAGGCGGCTGCAGCGCTACGGTTGCGCACGTGCTCGCCGGCAGTCGAAGCAGGGCGAGTTGAGACAACGGCAGCTCAGAATCGACAGCAATACGACCGCAGTACTCCCGACTACTATACGCTACAGTGCAATGGGATACAATACTGCACCTGCGGGGGGCAAAACGCCCAAAAACCCTGGCACCCTGCGGGACCGAATTCGGGCCGCCCGACCCGGCCTGATGCGTTGCCTGCAGGGGAGAGGTTGGCAAACCCGCTGGGCTCAGGTCGGGCCCGGGACGGCCTCGGGGGCAAGTGGCAATACCAATACTCCCTGCGGGAGGCGATACAACATCCATACTCCCAGCTGGAGGCAATGACGACCCGCCGCCCGACACCGAGCTGGGTCCGCTGTCTCCAGGCCCCCACTCCGCCCGCCCTGGAAGTCGGCGGTGGACAAACCTCCCTTTAGTAAACCACCCTTCAGGGAAAACGGCCTGGGACCGAAACCGACGGACCTGGACCCGCAAAAATGACGGCCGCGGCGCCCCCTCGCGAACCGAAAACGGCCACTTCGCTAGTCGACGTGTCGGGGTAGGAGGTCTATCAACCTCCGAGGAAGGTTGGCCATCGCCTCCCCCCGAGCAACGTTCCAGGGCGTGCCCGCTGCCTTCGGGCCCCGACGCTCCACCTGGCGGGCCGGGTGGGGTTGAAGAGGCCCCAGGACACACAAATAAATACACACAAATAAAATTATTCCCCATATTTTCCCATATTTTTTGAATTTGTGTCTTCCCCCCCACCTCCATATTTTCCTATATTTTCCTGGGAATCGACGATTAATTGTGTCTGTGTGTTTTTTCCCCTCCTGAGGGGTGTCGGGGCCTGAATCGGGGAGACGTGAGACGCGGGTTCGGGGGACTCGGGTTGGCCTGACGGGGCCATCAACAAAAATGGCGAGACCCAATCTGAACTTTGACGCGAACTCCCGCTGCAAACATCTCACGAAAACCGGACCGTCAAAATCCAAGAAACGCTCGTCAAAAAACGTCGACGAACCGGGATTCCGGCCTACTCGAGTCTCAAGTTTCCCCGACTGAAGTCGGCGGACACGGCTCGGAACCTTGGCGACGAGGGCCCCCCCCAAAAAGGCCAGCTACAGTAGGGGCCCGACCACAAGAAACCTTCCACAAGAAACCCAACCCTGAGACCCCAGGGCGTCCGCTGATGTTTGGCGTGGGAGCGCCGCGCTTTCCACAGCAAAACCATCGACACCCAAGAAACCCAGGGCACCCTGGAGGCAAGCAGGGTGTTTCTTGGCATGGGTCTCCACTGTACCGTCGTCTCCACCCGCCCTCCTCTCAGGCGAGGCGCGGGCGCGGAGGGGCCCGCACGCAAGGCTGCCCCTGCGAGGCCTGGGCTGACTGCACCGAGACTCCCCGCTCGGCGGGGCGTGGAGGTGGGGCAGGGGCAGAGGTAGGGCCAAAGAAAAAAACCCTCAAACCTCGACCCCCTCGCGTCGTGAAAGACTCACGACGACGTTACGTTTTCTGCCACTTTCGGTCTCCGGGGGCCTTACCAGGCCTCGGGACCGTCAACAAAACGACTCAGGAGAAAACGCCAGTCCCAGGGAAGGGGACCAGACTTCAGGGGATCGACGATGTGGCAAAAATCGCAACGTCGGGGGCTTGGGAACGGCACCTGGAAGGAGGAAAGGTGAATGTCCAACTGAGCTCGTTCCCCCAACCCACCTTGGGACAGCCCCCCCTCTACGAACCCCGACCGGCGACCGCCAGCGAGGTCCCCGCGAGCAGCCCGGCGCGGCGCGCCAGTCATCAGTCAACGTGGAGCTTGCAGCAGGGGCAGAGCCCGCTCTGGCGCGGCCGCGCCGTGGCCGGATGCCCGCCGTCGTGTTTCTCCTCCGCCGCCTCCTCGTCTCCTCCTTCGCGTCCTCCCCCTCACCCTCCCCCTCCTCCTCATCATCATCATCATCCTTTTCCTCCTCCTCCTCCTCCTCCTCCTCCTCCTCCTCCTCCTCCTCCTCCTCCTCCCTCTCCGCCGCCGCCGCCGCCGCCGCCGCCTCCGCCTCCGCCTCCGCGTCCGCCGCCTTCGCCTCCGCAGCCGCCCCCTCCTACTCCTCCTCCGCCTTCCCTCTATTCCTCCTCCTCCTCTTCCTCTTCCTCCTCGTCCTACTCCTCCTCCACCTTCCTCCTCCGCATTCCTCCTCCTCCTCATTCCTCTTCTACCCCCCCTCGCTCTCCCTCTCCATCCACAATGAAACAATAAGAATACTACTCTCCTCTCTGCCCTGGTGGCGTGCGGGAAATGGCTGGCCTTCCTCCGCGAACTCGCTTTTAAACACAGGATTTTCCGGCAACGGGTTTTAGATAGGTCTTTTGTCCGAAGTGCTGCTCTCGCTGAAGCGCTGGCCTCATTTTCGAGCTACCGCTCGTTTCGAATCGTACTCCCGCTGCAGCGCTGGCCTCATTTCCGCGCTTCCGTTCGTTCCCAATCGTGCTCCCGCTGCAACGCTGCCGTCATTATTTCCAGGGCCATGCCACGGCATGGTTTCCGATCCTTCCAAATAGGCCCCAAAATCAAAAACATGCCCCCCGAAGAAACCATCGGAAGTGATTTCACATTCGGTGCCGATTCATTGATTTTTATGGCCGCAGAAAGCCCCCTCCTCATTTTCGGGGCGTCGCCAGGCCATGCTATGTCATGCTACGCGTTAATCTGCAACACCATGCTATGGCTTGAAATGTTACGCCATGCTACGACATCCGATTGAGCGAATAGGGAGGAGATCTGCGCCATGGTAAGGGATGGGAGGGAGGGGTAGGACGTCAGATATGACGCGAGCGCACCTAGCTTGCCCTCCCCCCCTCGCCCTGCTCCTCAGTCTTCTCTCCTCCTCTCCAACCTCGTTCTCATTCTCCCCCTCCCTCTCAGCTTCGCTCATCCATCCACCCGCACCTTACGCTTGTTCAACGTGTTTGCCATGTGTTGAGCATGAGGCCTCAAGAAGTCCCCAGAGACTCCCTCCTCATTCCTCTCTCTCTCCTCGTTCTCTATTCTCCACTCTCAGCTTCCCTCTCTCTGTCCGACCTGCTGCGCTGCGCCCAGTCCTCCTCTTTTTCCTTCAAATTGGCCAGAGAAGCACTTCCTTCCCGGGCCCTCATGTTTTGGGTACTCGTTTTGACTAGAGTGCTGCTGCCTCCTCTTCCTCCTCCCGCCTCCCCTAGCTTCCTGCCTCATAAGTCCTGCTCCTACTCTTCCTCCCCTGCTGGCTGCCAGCTGCGTAAGTGTCGACAGTTTCCGGATCCGAACTAGACAATGCTACCAAGGGGCGGTTACAACCTTCGTGGGTTCCTTGAAAGTCTGGCGGAATGCGGTGCTGATGAGATCTACACTAGAACTAGCCTGGGGGCTACCAACTGCAAAACTGTCGTCACTGTCGTGAGTTAGTGAAAGTCCAGCGAAGTGCGTTGCTAAGGATACCCACGCTAGACCTCGCCTCCCTTTGGGCTGCCAATTGCAAAATCAGCAGTCGTCTCTTTCGTGGGCTCCTGGGAGGTCCAGTGGAATGCGGGGCCAAGGCGGCCAAACTGGACCTCGCCTCCCCGGGGGCTGCCAGCTCCGGAACTGCCCGTGGTCGCTCTCATGATCTCGTTGGAGGTCCAGCGGAGTGCGGTGCTACGAGGATCCAGACAAAACCGGGCCTCCCGGCGCGCTGCCAACTGTGCAATGATCGGCGCGTTCATGGTCTCCTGGAAGTTCAGCGGAGTTCGGTGCTAAGGGAGTCCAAGCTAGACCTCGGCACCTCGGCCAACTGCGTAACTGTCGCCACTTTCGTGGGCTCCTTGGAAGTCCAGGGAAGAACGGCCCTACGGGCATTCAAATTAGACCGTGCCCTCCCTCGGGGCCGCGAACTGCGCAACTGTCGAAACCCTGGTGAGCATGTGGGAGTTTTAGCAGAATGCGGTGCTCAGGGAATCCACACTAGACCTGGCTTCCCTGGGGGCGACAAACTGCGCAACTATCGCCACTCTCGCGAGTTCCTGTGAGAACCAGCGGAGAGTGGAGCTAAACGTTATACAAACACAAGCTATTCCTCCTACCCCTGGGTGATGTCAACTCTTTCGGGACGGCCAGAAAACGTCAAACAAATTCTGCCCTTATCCTGGAGAAGGAAGAGCCGGAAGAGAGAGGGAGATGCCGCGGCTTGGCGCAGAGAGAAAAGAGAGATAGGTAGAGGCACGCGATGTTTGTCTCTAGAACCCCTGTGCTGACTGCCCTCGTGCTTTTTCAAAGATGACGCGCTTCGCCCCTCTGACACGGCCGCCAAACATAACGAAGCGATGCCTGACGTGAGCAAGCGCCAGGTCAAGACGCCGGATGCCCGCGGCCAGGGGGAAGCGGGGGCGGGGGGGGGTGCAAGCCTTGGAAAGCCACTGGTCCACGCAGGCCGTGTGGAACTCGTGGCGGCACCTCTGCGGGGGTGGAATAGAATTTGAATGAGACAGCCCAACTCTGGGTTAAGAACACTGTCGAAGATGCTACCGTCCACGTTGTCGGTGGTGGTCATCATGCGTAAAAAGTTCTCGGACAAGGTAGAAACACCGAGAGCACACGCCTCTGCGGGCGTGCGCCAGCCAAGGCTCTGGGCCGTCGTCCCCGTCGTCAGCATCAAACTAGAGGGTCGAAGTGGCTCGAGGAGCGCTTCTGATCCTGACCTGGCCTCAGAAGGCCAGCCCAGGCCTGCGGAGACCTCTAAAGACCTCGTGGTCGTTGTGCTCGTTCTCGTCGTCCTGTACCTCCTCTTCCTCCAACCCCCTCCTGCCTTTCCTCCTCCCCCTCCTCCGCCTCCTCCCTCCTCTTCCTCCCCAATCTCAGTCCTCCTCCTCCTCCTTCGCCTGCTCCTCCTCCTCCTCCTCTTCCTCCTCCTCCCTCTTCCTCATAATCAACTCCTCGTCGCACCAACGGGCGCGTCGGTACGTAGGGTGCTTTGAGCTCTTCGCCCGAGGCCTACTCACAGGCTGTGTCCATGACGCTAAACATCTCCAGCAGCTAACTCGGGTGGGCGGCTGGCCGCTTTCAAATGTGTGGTTCTTGATGTCCATCGCTTAAGACTTCCCCAGACGTGAAGAACATTTGAGCTTCCATTGCCTGCCCTGGTACGTTGACCAAACAAACTGGATATTGGAATGCCCACACACTACTGTAAACATGGAGGGCGGACCCGGCCCATCGAGCTGACAGATTTCATTACATTCGAACCATCGCGCTCGCACGCTTCGAGCGCGCTCAAAATCTACATATCGGGACGCCTAGCGTATAATGAACAGCGTGGACGAGGGGAGCACGCCTGAAGAAATGAGAGCCGAGAACTTCGAACCCAAAGCTGCAGGTCGGAATGCGGGATTCGGGCTCGTGCTCGAGCTGTGGCGAGGGGTGTACAACTAAATGCAAATGAACACCCTCCACGCTGCTACGCCTCCCCGCCTCCGCGCTTCCCCCCAGCCAGGGTATGAGATCAGCATGGAGAGGGATTAGGTGGGGACGCAGAGGGAGGGGGCGAGAGGGGAGACGGGAGGAAAAGCAGGACCAATGGCAAGAGGGGGGGAGAGGAGAAGTCAGAGTAGGAAGAGGAGGGTGACCAGGAAAGATGATCAGGCGGGAGCGGGAAGGATGAGGATTAAGATGCGGATGATCAGGAAGATGATGAGAAAGACGAGACGGATGATGAGGATGAAGATGAAGATGGTAGGAGAGGAAAAAATATGGGGATGGGCAGGTGAGGTGCTACGCATCCTCCTCTCCTCCACTACCGCATATTCATCAAAGTCCATGGCGGGGCACTTGTGCGGCCGTTTGTGGGCTGTCTCGGGCCCTGTGGGCCCGTGTTGGGGCCCTCTTGTGGAATTCGGTGGGACCATCTTTGCGCCCTCTTGGGATCTCGTGGGGCAATCTTGAATCCTTCCTGAGGCAGCTCGGAGCGCTTGTGGTCCATCGTGCGGCCGTCGTGAGGCGACGACGACGACGACGAGAGCGATGGCGGCGACGGTGACGAGGACAAGGGCGACGACGACGACGACGGCGACGAGGACGAGGGCGACGACGACGCCTGCGAGGACGACCCAGACATCCGATATCGCGTTGTCCAATCATAGGAAAACAAAAACGGCGAAAACATCAACTCTGGGAGGTCCGCGCGAATTTCTTGGATCTGCGCTGACCCCCCCCCTCCTCCCTGGCGCGCGGGGCGGCGCCGGAGGCGCCGCCAGGGGGGCCCAACGCGGATCCAAGAAACTCGCGTGAAACTTGGAACGTTGATGTCTCTGCTATTTTTTCTTGTTCGAACTGAGGGCCCCAGAAAATCCCTCGGGGACGCCCTGACCCGGGTCAATGCAGACCCAGGTCAGTCAGGCCTTGCAAGATCCTGCCAAATCCTGCCAAATCCTGCGCCGAGACCCGGGCAAATGCCAACCCTGGCCCTGCAGGATCCTGCAAGATCTGGCGCTCTGGCCGACCCCCATTTGCATGGACCCCCGCCTCTTGCGTTAGGTCCCCCTCCAGGGGGATTTTGGACGATTTTTTTAAGTTAAGAAATGCTCCCAAATGCTACAAATAGTCAGAAAATCGTCCCCATACGATTTGTTGATATTACTCCTGTAGAGGGACAAGCCCGACATAACTCTTGCGCCCCGAGTCCCGAGACACGCCTGCTCCAGGGCCCGCCCCCCAACCTCGGCCAGTTCCTCGCTGCCGGCAGGAGCGTCCTCCTCCGGGCGCCGGAGAGGGCAAACACACGCACCGCCGTGATGTGCTCCTGCCGTGTCTGGGCAGGCGGATCCCGAGGGGGCGAAGGGGGGCAGAGGGGACGAGGGCGAGGGACGGCGGCAAGCGCGAGGGCGAAGGGGGTAGCGAGGGCGAGGACTGGGGGCGGAGACGAGGGACGGCGACGAGGGCGAGGAGGGTCGCGAGGGCGAGGACGATGGACAGCGACGAGGGCGCGGGCGAGGAGGGCAGCAAGGGGCGAGGGCGAGGGGCGGCGGCGAGACGCGTGGGGTCGCAGGCCGCCGGGCACCCCAGCGCGCGGAGGCTCTCGCCCCTCTCGAAGTCGGAGAGGCAGATGGCGCACTGGCCTCGCGGCGCCCGCTTTCGCCGCCGCGGTCGTCCTCGCCGTTCCTCGTCCCTCGCCCTCGCCCTCGCCGTCGTCGTCGTCTTCGTCGTCGTCGTCGTCCTCGTCCTCTTTGCCGTCGCTGCCACCGGCCTCGTCCTCGCCGCCCCCTCGTCGTCGCCCTCGTCGTCTTCGTTTTCGTTGTAGCCATCGTCGCCGCCGCCGACGCCGCCGTTGTCGTTGTCGTCGTCGTCACCGTCGTCGACGTCGTCATCCTCGTCTTCCTTGTCCCATTCCTCCTCATCCGTGTCTCCCTCTTCCTCCTCCCCCTCCTCGATACTCGACCACCGAAGACCTAGGTATTGACAGCTTCTGGACATTTTTGAGCCTCTGGATGCCTCCCCCTGATTCTGGACGGGGGAAGCCGCAAGGTGACAGAAGGTCGATGTTGGGCCCACTCTGGCTCCAAGAGGGCCTCGGTGAGGCCAAGATGATCTCCAAGATGGCTCAATATATCCAACGAACGCTTAACATTACTTCCAGCATGCTCCAAGAGGCTCCAAGACGGGTCTACGCGGCCTTGGGGCCTCCCCCCAGGCCGCCTCCAAAAGGCCAACATCGTTCCAAACCTTTAGGAACAACAATGTTGTTTGCCTTCTCGGCGGTTCGCCTCCGATGGGCAGTGAAAGCCTCAAGATAGATCCAAGATGGCCCAAGAGGGGCTCAAGACGGCCCAAAGACGTGACTTTTGGGTCTCCAGAGGGGGGCGGTTGTTGATAACCCCTTTTCTTCTATCAATGTCCTCCAAGATGGCCCCAAGAGGGCGCCCAACGCCCCCAAGAGGACCCATAGACCCCAAGAATGCTCCAAGATGGCTTATGTCCTTGAAAATGGTCCCGCGACGGCATTTCTGGTTGACTCCAGGGCCTGCTCAGGCAGATCCCGATCTTGTGATGACGGAGGTGATCTTGGGTGGATTTTTCCATGGGAAGAAATGAAACACTTGATCATACGAGCCAGCGCTTGGGCAGCCGCGACCCCCCCCGATTTGCTCTAGCGTGCCGATGGCGCAAGAGATGCCTATCGGGGGCGCCTTAGAGGCAGTACAATGGATGCCAGTCCACAAGAGCCCTTCCACGAGAAACCTATACCTGAGACCCCAGGGCGTCTCTTGACTTTTGGGGTGGGAACGCAAAAGCCTTCCATAGCACAACAGTCGAAACTCGAGACACCCAGGGCACCCTGGAGGCAAGCAAGGTGTTTCTTGGCCTGGCATAGGACTCCACGGTGCTGAAGCCTTATGGCGTCTCTTGGGGGCCTCCGTGGGCCCCCCCTTTGGCGGGATACAATATCCTGGGGGCCTCTTGCGGGCCTCTTGGGCGTGGGTTCCGGAATCCAGGCGCGATGCGAGTCAGTCCTACGCTCATCTCTGCTGTCATGTGTGTCCACCGCCAAGGACGGGAGCATCCTTGCATTCAGAGGCCACGGCCGGGGCTGCTGTTATGCGCATACTGGAACCATTGGCACAGCGGCCGCGATTTCCTCTTCCAGCACGTGAGACGCCCACGACCGCCGAGAGAGGAAGCTTGCAACGCTGTACAGGCTGCAACGCATGCACCATCATCACCCACGAGAGTAGCAGCTACGAGAACGAGAGGTTGCCACCTGTATGGTAGCGGCGCCCGTTGAAGGGCCCCCGACCGATGGGCCATGGGTCTGGACGACAAAAAACAGATGGAGGAGAACGGATACCCAGTTGGAATGGAGAAACCACCAAATGCGATGACTACTGCGAAGAAGCGGATTTGAAGACCGCCGACGGGTCTCTGTGCGCCACCCTTGAGACAGTAACCGAATGGACCAGCCAGGTCAGTCGCCAAGAAGATGATGAGCCACGAAGAGTGCGAGGCTGCCGACGGTCTGAACCCAGATCTCAAAAACTTCGCCGACAGTCCTCTGGGCAGACAGCCTGCTCCAGACGCGTTCAAGCGAATCGACAGATACTATCTACTCCTCAGGAGGAAATGCGAGTCGATGACGGACTACATTATTCGAGGGGACGAATGTTTGGCCGAGTTGTCGAGATCCACAACACGTAAGTGAGGAGCGACAAGCTGAGGAGGAACGAGAACGTTCGAGAAGCAGCAGAAGTGGTAGTGGGCGGCGCAGTCACAGAAGCCTCAGATACCATGAAGAACCTGCAGATGGAGCTAGGGATTCTTCGACAACGGGATGAGAGGATACAACATTCTGAAGAATGCAGTCCTGGACCACGGCGAGAGACACGAACACCTTTCTCATGTATCTACACATGTATATGAATATCTGTATATACATACAGAGAGACAAGAGAGACAGAGAGACAGACACACAGACAGAGAGAGAGAGAGAAAGAACAACTGAGAGAGAGAGGGAGCGAAAGAGAAACACCCAAACACTTCATCTGCTTATAGAAACCACGCGCGCGATTCGCGTGCGCTTAGGTTCTAGTCGACTCCGAAGCTGGTGTCAGTTTGGAGCGCTGGAAGCTCGAAAACGCGGGAAGGCCAAAAACCGTTAAACACATAGAAGAAATCAGAGAGTTTGGCTTCTTGGGGCCCTTTCGACAGCCAGTTTGGAGGCTCGTAGGGGGCTCTGAGGAGGCAGCTTGGAGGCTTCGTGGGGACTGCTTCTGGAAGCTCTTGGGGCGCCTTTTCGGGTCTCCCCTCCCGGGCGTCTGTGGCTTGCTGGGAGCCTCGGGAGGGTCCTGGAGGCGTCTCGGGAGCTTCTTGGGGCCTCCTGTTTGTTCCCCCTCTTGGGCCCATTTTGAGCATGTGCTGGGGCGCTTTTTGGTTGTTCTTGGACGGCTCCTGGGCAGTCACCATGCTTTCTTGGGCTGTCTTGGCGCTCTCTTGGACAACTTTTTGGCCGTCCTGGGGCGGTCTTGCGGGCTTGGAAGTTCGAAAGCGGGAGAAGGCCAACAACCTTGAAGAAATAATGAAAACCATCGATGCTTGTCTCTTGGGGCTCTCTCGGGGGACCTCTTGGAGCTTTCTTTGGGTCCTAGCGGGCCGTGCATTGGACGCCTTGGGCCTATCTCGGGCTATGTCGGCGCCATCGGCGCCGTCTTGGGGGGGGCCCGTCGATGCCCCCCCCAAGCCTCCAAGCGCTCCGTGCCACGCCTCGGGCACCGTCCGGGACGCTCCCGGGGCCGCTCGGGAGAGCGTCGGAGGCCCGGAGCCACCGTGCGCTGTCGAGGCCACTTTTTTGGAGGCCTCTGGCTCTGTATTCTGATATCTCTATACATATGTGTATATGTATCTGTAAATATATATGTATGTATATGTATATATATACACATAAATATATATATATATATATATATATATACACATTATATACACACACTCACAAATACATCTGCCACCGTGCTCTTGGCACGTACTGGAGTGCCCCAAGGACCATGCGGCTCTGCGAGGTGGAGGGTCTGTGGTTCGCAGGGGCTCCGCCCCCCCGGTTTCTCTGGCGGCCCCAGGCGCTAATTACCGCGCCCTCCTGGGGTGTGCGCCTGGGCTTCTGGGACGCCAAGAGAACCCAAAGACGAGCCAATAGGACCCCAAGAGGCCCCCAAGACGGTCGAAGAGGGTCCAGAATCGCCCAAAGATCTGTTAAAGACACCCCGAAAGGCCGAAGGTGACCCCAAGATGCTCCCAGATGCCCCCAAGAGGCACAATTCATTGATTAGCCTCAGGAGTTTGAATGATTTTAGCGTTCTCGCCTTTCTGGCTTACCAACGCTCCAAGACGGCCCAAGAAGCTTTAAACACCGACCCAAGACGGCCCAAAAGGGTTCCAAGAGAGCCTCAAAACGGCCCAAAAGGGCTCCAATATGGCCCAAAAAGTCTCCAAGACGGCCCAAGCGCCGCCAAGACGGCTCCAGGGGGGGCCCAGATGGGGGCCCGAAGGGACAACATTTCGAGCACTCGGCCGCCACATAACCCCAGGAGGCTCCAAAAGGCCCCCAAGAGGCGCCCCTGAAGCCCCAAGACGCTCCCAAGAGGCCCACAGGAAGCTCCAAGAACTTCCAAAGAGGCTTCCCAGAGGCCCCCAGGAGGCCCCCAAGAGGCCCCTCAAGTGCCTCCGAAGCCGACGCCAGCAGAACGTCCGCGGGCCCCGGAAACATCAAAGTGCCGTGGGGCGTGCGGCAGTTGGACACACTCTCTCAGGCCCTTTTGATCCATACAGGCTACGCGAACACAACAACTGCGCGAAGGGCTGCATCTCCTGAACGTGACTTCGCGCGTAATTGAACTCGGGCACACGTGCACCACCCAACGATCCCCACTTCGCGACGTCCCACGAGCACGTGGCAACAGTAGACTCCATGGGCCAGGCGCGCCAGTTCGTACTGACAATGGCGGAGCCTCTTCACAACAGGAGGAAACCACGAATCCCCATGGGGATGTCAGAGATGCACACCTCCAAAGTCCCACGACGCCCCCCAGGCCCCCCCTCCCAGACAAAAGGAAACCTCTCAAAGGCATTCCGCCCAGGACCCAGACACGGTGGCGGATGTGCCGCAGGCCTCTAGATATTAGAAGTAGTCGAGAATAGGCCAGAGGCAATAGAGTTCAGAGCGAGGTGCGAGAGCCCATGAAGCAAGTACAGACTGCATGTGTAAGAGACATATATCACAACGGGAGAAAGAGAGAGAGAGAGAGAGAGAGAGAGAGGGAGAGAGAAAGAGAAAGGGAGGTATATTTTTTTTGATCGGCATGACAACTCCTGGGTTCAGAGCCTCCAGCTTGGCAGTCGGCATCGATAGGTCACCGCAGGAGAAGTCATCTCCCCCCTGGCGACATCCCAGAGATCATCATGTGTATGTTAATTGCGCGCCACGGGTCCACCACAAGCGCACCTCGGAGGATGCGGGCCTCGCATCGACCGAGCACTCAGCCACGAGGACGTTGACTCGTGGCAGGTAAAAAACGTGCTGATGGCTGAACTGTGCACGAATATCGGGCAACAGCTCTTGCGCTGCCACTTCTTCGAAGTAATTCGCAGAGCGCGTCTCCCAAGAACTCAGTATCCGAACGCCTCCACCGTCTTCTCGAAACACTTTACGTAATCACCCACCTTCATCATGGGATGATATGCTGCGGTCTTCCTCTCCGTGCAGTCAGGCCTCCATTTCTTGTTCTTTTTCTGGTCCTCTGGGCGATCCGCCTCGCAGGCCGCGTCCAGAGTAGTGTCGAACGCCCCGCCGCGGCGCACACCCATGGCGTCCAAGCAGCTCTGAGCGAACAGGTCCTCCCCCATCGGCCCGTACTTGCCGCCCTCCACTCCCGTCTTCCAATCCAGGACCTGCTTGCACCATTCGATGTTCGGGAACAGCGTCTGGGCGGCAGTCAGCGACATGATCTCCAAGTTCCCGAACCAACCCCACTTACAGTATTTGCAGTTCTCGAGGTAGATGCCAGGCACACCGCTCCCAGGCTCGCCCTGGGAGGCAAGGAAGGGCCTCAAGCGGCTCGGCAAAAACACCGCATCGCAATCTACCTTGACCACCCAGCTGGCGCGCTGGTAGTCTCCCGCCGCCCTGATCGCCTTCCAGACCTGTGTGTGCAAGCCTGTGTTAATCCAGGTGCCGGTCTCCTTGCGCTTGAGAATGTGGAAGTCCCCATCGGCGTCGTCCACCGCCACGAAGGGCACGCCAGGGGCCAGGTCGCCTGGCTTGTCGCTGAAAATGCCCCACTGCTCGCACGCGAAGATGCCTATCTTCCTGTCGTACGCCGCCTTCAGCAAGTTCAGCTCGTCCGGGCGCTCGGTTTTGCCATCGCTACCAGTGTCTGCCATGTAAACGGAGAAGCAATACATCGATGTTCCAGGTGCTACGGCGTTGTCCAAGTACATCGGCTCGCCGACCTTGGGCACAGGCACCGCGCAGGCCGTCGTCTCGCTGGGCGTGCAGTTCTTCATGCACTGGGCCGAGCCAGGCGTGGTCGTCACGAAGCAGGTGAAGCCAGCCACGTCGCAGCACGCTGTATCGAAGCAGTCCCCGGACACGTCGCTGCACTTCTCCCGCGCTGGCTTTGCCAGCACCTGCAGCAACTCGCGCCTGGCCGCGGGGCCGCCCCCTGGCGAGCTGGCGCCGCCACCTGCCGCGAAGCCGCCCGCGGCGCAAGCGGCACAGGCCAGCGCCGCGCAGCCGAGGACCCTGCCGGTGCTCCAGCCAGCGGCCGGCGCGGCCGCGTCGCTGTCGCTGCTGAGCTCCAGGTCTTCGCTGCGGCGGTGCGGCGCCATGCGGGCGAGATGAAGTGTGAGCTCTGGTCTGCAGCGGAAGCAAGCAGGCGTGCGCCGAGGAGACGCGATCACTGGAGCGCCACAGAATGGTTGAGGCGAAAAAGCTTGAGCCCAAGCAGAGCAGTAGAGGGCATGCGGCATGCGTGGCGTGCATGCGAGAACGCCAGGAAATCCGCTGCCTGGATTTTGTTCGCTTGCGCAACGCTGCTGTAAGACCCCCGCGCTCCTCCCAAGACGCCCGCGCGCGAGGGCGCACGCACGGGCTCGCTCGCGCGGGAGGGCCACGGGAGAGCCTCCAGGCAGGGCCGCCGGGCCCCGAGATCCGACGTCAGGAAACAATCTGCGGCAGCCCGAAACATCACAGCCGGAGCCTCCTCAGACCGCATCCTCGGGAGGCATCTGTTGAACAAGATCGACACGAGGTAGAAGGAGAAAAGACGCCAGAAACATAAACTATAAACTTTTGGCGCTCCGCGCGGATTGCTTGGATCCGCGTTGGGCCCCCCTCCCCGGCGCGCGGCGCGCGCCAGGGGCGGCGCCGGAGGCGCCCAGCGCGGATCGATCCAAGACATCCGAGCGGAGCGCTGAAAGTTCGCTGATCCCCAGAACGTGTGTTAGCGCCCACGTGTGCTGGTCCATCGAAGGCCTTGAATACGACGCACGTGGCGTACCGATGGCCGACACATGCCAAATGGGGTTAACACACATTGGGCTAACACACGTCCTGAGGATCATGGAACAGTTCATGTTTGTGTTAGGTCGGGCCTGTCCCCCCCCCCACAGGGGGAACTTGGACGAAAAATTCAAAATACCCCCCAACATGCCCCAACACAATCAGTCACAAGTATTCCGAAAATCGCCCCCCCAGACTATTGTCTGACTATTTTTCGATATTCCCCGTGCAGAGGGACAGGCCCGACTTCATCTTTGTGGCGTCTCTCCTCCGTCGACGAGATAAAACAGGGCTAGGATCGGGATAAATCGCTCCAGAGCGTTCCGGAGCGCTCTCAGAGCGTTCCGGAACGCTCTGGAGCGGCCGCGGCGCCCAGTACATCCTCCAAACCCGCCGATTCTCAGAGATTTCGAGTTAACCCCATCCGATTTTGTCCCGATCTTCGCGTCGTTGTGCGAGAGGGCCCCGGTGCCCGAGGCCGGGCGAGCGCGCCGGGCGTGGGGGAGCTGCCGTGCCCGGAGGCGCGGGGGAATGGGGCCTCCGAGAGGCGGCGGCGAGGAGCGTCCGCGGGGCCTCCGCCCACGGCCCCGCCCCCTTTCGGCGGTGGACAAACATCCCTTTGGTAGACCTCCCCTTAGCGAAAACGGCCCGGGACCGAAACCGACGGACCCGGACCCGCAAAAATGACGGCCGCGACACCCTCTCGCGAAAAGAAAACGACCAATTCCTTAATCGACGTGTCAGGGTAGGATGTCTGGCCACCCCCGACCCTTCTTTGGCAGGCGGATCTCTCAAGCTCTCCGGCGCCGCTGGCGGTGTGCGCTGCGAGCAGGAGCGCAGGAGCACGGGCTCTGCTGCGTGCCTGCTCGCGACGCACACCGCCAGAGGCGGCGGAGAGCCTGAGAGGTCCGCCTGCCGAAAAAGCCCCCTCCCGTCTTTCGGGGATGGGCAGAGCCCCCTTTAGAAAAACGTGGTTTGGTGAGAACGACCTCGGGCCCAAACCTGGCGGGCGCAGGCCTGGAAAACGGCGGCCGCGGCGCCTTCTCGAAAACCGAAAACGGACAATTCACCAATCGACGCGTTAGGGTGGGGATTCTGTCCACCCCCGAGTCTTTTGGGGAGCAGGAGGGGAAGGCTTCTTGGAAGCACCCCATGCCTCTTAGAGGGTGTGGGCCTTGTCTGCATAACTTTAGGTCGGGCATGTTGTCCTCCTACAGGCGGACATCGAAGACGAAGGAAACATAGTCAGCACATGTTCCAAAACAGTCCAACGGGGGGGAAAAAAAAAACATGCACCCAGACTATTTCGGGACTATTGTCGAACCCTCCTCCTGTAGAGGGACACGCCCGACTTGAATATAGCCGTGTCAGGACGGCGCCTTCTGTGCGCGCCGCCACGACGAGGACGACGACGAGGACGGCAACGACGAGGACGGGGACGAGGACGACGAGGACGACGAGGACGACGAGGCCGACGAGGACGACGAGGACGACAACGACGAGGACGACGAGGACGACGAGGACGACGAGGACGCGGACGACGAGGACGAGGACGAGGACGAGGACGACGCAGCCCCGCCTGGCGCCCCGTCGGCCCCGGGCCCCTCGTAGAGCCGCGTACCTGCGCGCGGGCGATGCGCGGAGCGCCCGCCGCGGCGGGCGGCGGCGGCGGCAGGCTTCGACGCTCGATGGAGGATCGAGGACCGAGGATCGAGGATCGAGGATCGAGGATCGAGGCTCGAGGATCGAGGATCGACGACCGAGGGAGGAGGACCGAGGATCGAGGCTCGAGGATCGAGGCTCGACGACCGAGGGAGGAGGATCGACGTTCGATCGAGGATCGAGGATCGAGGCTCGAGGCTCGAGGATCGAGGATCGACGACCGAGATCGGAGATCGGAGATCGAGGATGGAGGTGCCATCGACGATCGAGGATCGAGCTCCGATGGGAGGTCGAGGATGGCGGTGCGATCGACGATCGAGGGTGGAGGCTTGCATGTGGGGATCGAGGAGCGAGGATGGCGGTTCGATGGAGGATGGAGGCTCGAGGTTCGATCCAGGATCGAGGTTCGATCCGAGACCTGTACGTACGTCTGGCGTGGAGGGAGGTGAGCATTCTCTTATTCGGCGTTTCGACGTTGGGCGGAAAGGGGGGGAGGGGGGGGGTCTGCTCCAGACCTCTGCTTAATGCGACTGTTTGCAACAATGTGTCCATGTGGGAGAGTGACTCCACCTGCTCGAAACAGGCGCCACAAACAGCCAAGATCTACTCCAGGGGGGGGGAAAGGGGGGTGCGAAGGCCCGCGCCGATCGGCAAAACAATGATTAAAAAAACCGGTGACGAGCAGATTCTCCGGAGGGAGCCCAGACTTCCAACGACTGGGCTTCTTCAGTCTGGCGGTGTTTCATCGACTTCGGTTGTTGTTGGTGTTGCTGCTGTTGTGGTTGTGGTTGTGGTTGTGGTTGTGGTTGTGGTTGTGGTTGTGGTTGTGGTTGTGGTTGTTGTGGTTGTTGTTGTTGTTGTTGTTGTTGTTGTTGTTGTTGTTGTTGGCCACCGCATTCCCGGGCCACCGCACTTCCTCGTCTTCGGTCCTACAGGGGGGCGTCACCAAACACCGGGAGAATCAAAAATGGGTCCTGGGCGAAACGCTGACACTGGGGAAGGGGTCGGGACCTCTGGGGCCGCGGATTGGAGAACAAACATAGCGGAGGATTTCTAGAAGCGGGTCCTGGACCCCAGGGCAAAACTAGAGCAGGAT